CGAGCCGAGCGCAGCGCACCCCTCCGAGCGGCTCTGCGGAGCCCGGCGGGCATCCCCCTCCCCCCGGCCCGTGCAGCCCAGACACCTGTGTGTGCTCGTGTGTGTCTGTGTGTGTGCGGGCATGAGGGGAGGAGAGACTGAGCCGACACAGCCGACTTGTGTGCAGCATCGAGTGGTGGAAGTTGATGATGAAGGAGGAGGAAGAAGAAATGTTGATTTGGCGTTAGTCCTTGGTGTAGTCCATTTGAGATTTTTGCACCAATTTATTGTGTAAACACGTTCTATTGCTAATTTGTGTTCAGCTGACGGCGTCTCCGTTAATCGAAATCGTATTGGATAAAAATAAACAACTTCACTGCAAGTTAAGGAGTGAGCAAATTCGATCCAAATGGCGCGAGGTTGTGAATCTAATTTTATGACTCCTGGGGGAGGGATATTAATTAAACCGCTTGTTTGAAGCCAGTTTTGCTACATTTTTGGTTACGAATAATTCTCATTTTCGCAAACATCGCTCGTTTAGCCTAGAGTCGTTTTTGTGACATTTTCGGTTACGAAGAACTCAAATTGAGTCATTTCGCAAACATCGCTCTAACAGTCGTTCTATTCGGGCAAGAAAACTCGCTCTACGTTTTACAGTGTTAAACTAACGACGTTCAATCTTTTGACGATGTCACTTTTAACTTTACGACAGAAGTAGCTGTTAATGCGCATCATCTGCTAAACAACAAAATCATCGCCACTACCACAGTTATACACAAATGCATCAGAATTTCGTGTTTGATTTGGCCAGATCGGGCCGCGCTGTGCTTTTTCTTTTCCTTTATCACGCGTCCTTGTTGCACTTGGGGCCAAAGGGGAGCGGCAAGAGTGCGCGGCCTAACCACGTAACTTTCTCCTCTATCCTCGCTCTCTCTCTCTCTCTCTTCCTCCCACCCCCGCTCCGCCCGGGGAGCTCTCCTTGTCGTGCCCACGGCCCCTTTCATTGGTGGACCCGTCTCTTCATATCCTCGTGGACGTGGATAAGACGACATTTACACTGTTATTTCGGGTTCAAACTGCCAAATAACTTTGACGTAGAACTTCATCTTGGAATGAAAGTATCTGCACATATACATATACAGCCGTAACCTCTACAGATCACAAGCAGGCGAGCATCGCGAGAAAAAATTGCAGTTGGGGGTATGCTTGACATCGACTCACTCTTCTCACGTTTTCACAATTTTTGAGGTTACCCATTTGTTTCTACTAAGGTTGGTCCCAGCGCCCCGTCCGAGCAAATGCGTATACTAACCATGCAGACGCGCGGGCGGGTTGCCTATTCGTACGGGGCCGTAAGGCGCCATGGCTATGGGCTATAGGCAAACCCGTTCGCATCCGTGCATGCGGGCTGGTGTGACCATAATTTGATAGTCACTATTTTTCATTTTCGCAGAGCTCAAAGGGGTGGAATGACACTCTGCCGTATACCGTTTAAGGGGTTTGGTGTCGAACCTTATTATTTGAAATTCCTGCCGGAAGTGGCGCTATTCTTCTCTTGTGATTCCGCCTGCCTGATTTTTGAGAATGTGCGATAATGTGTAAAATTATGAGCCCAAACGTTAAAATTTGTCAACATTTTCACGATAAACGTGGTTTTTGGCACTTTTGAACGACATGGTCGATTTTTGCCATTGTTTGAATCGAAGTCACTAGTTTATCCCTCTGTGGCAATCCTGAACTTTTGGGGCTGCAATGTAACTGTAGATCCTTGCATCCGTGTGTTGCCGCTTTCTGCCTGAACTAGATGTTAAGTAATCAGTTTTTTGCCGGACAAGCTAAGAATGACAGCAAAATTGTTTACAAATTTATCGGATGTCGACAAACCAGAAAACTCGAACACTCCGAAGAATGTATAATTGAAACAAAGTCAAGATCCTTAACAAAGGCCACATGAGGTTTTATAACAAAAAATATTACTTGTAATTCGACCAATCTTAAAGCATGACAACTGTTAATTTAGGATAAAAGGGATTGCTAAGTTACACGAAATGTTTCTGTTTTGATACTTAAAATCATCTGAATACCAGCCTCTTCGTCGAGCAAACGCAAAGCAGATAAGTGAGTATAGAGGTGCGTGAATGATGGAGAAAGAGAGGGAGAGAGAGACCTGCTAACCGCGCTATTGCACTTCACTACTACTACAGCTTTAATTGCGAGATTAGCACCTCCATTAGGCCCCTCTAGCTCACGAGACTTCGGGAACGAAAACTTGCGTACGCCCTACCCACAATGCGACCCCGGGGTCAGGTGGAGCAGAGAGAGAGGTGGGGGCAGGGGGGGGGTGACGG